CCCTTGATGGTGAGGTACGTATCCAAAAGCCCTTGGTGATTAAGCATATCAACCAATTCAGGAGAAAATTGATCGGGTTCAAGGGCTTTACCTCCGATTACGGTATAATCGGTGTTGCTCCATTCCGGGGTGCGGGTTCCGAGGGGCTTTTTCGGCATTTTGGGTTTTCGTCTAGGTGGTGTTTTCCGGCGAGTCTCCAGCGAGTTCCATCGGGGTTTCGGTGAAAGTTTCTGGCGATGGGGCGGCGGCGAGGCTCGACTCCGGTGACGTCTTGGCGAGGGGGGGGGGGGGGGCGGTGGCTTTTGAACCAGGCTGGCAGGGGTGGCGGCGTGGCAGCGGGGGCGCTTCAGGCGAGTGGCGGGAGGCGGAGGCGTTGCGGGTTGCTTCCGGGCGGCGACGGCGGTGTGCGGTGGGGCGCCGTCTGGGCGGTCGATGGCGGCTCCGGCCGTGGACGGCAATCGAATGGGGCTGCTGGTTCGGTGTTTGGGGGCGGCGAGGTGAGTGGAAGAGGGGAGGAGAGAGGGAGAGGAAGGGGAGAGAGAGAGAGGGTGCGGGAATGTGGAAGAAGAAGAAGGGTTTTTGATTTGGGGATTTTGTGGGTTTTAGGGATTTGTGGGGGTTTTAAGAAGGGAGTGTCCCCTTAAGGTTTCAAGAAGCACCCTTAGCTTAGTGGTCAAGACCTTGGTTTTGTAAGTGGGAGGTTAAGGGTTCAATTCCCATTGGTAACACTAGGTTTTTTGATGGTGTGGTCCTTGTCTTTTTCCTTCTTTTGTCTTCTAGTGGTGGGAGGTTTGGTTTGTTTGTATAATTTTAGTTCTACCCCCGTAAGTAGGATCGAATTTCGATCTAATCTTTTATTTATAATAATCCGAAGTAATCAAGCTAAGTAAGTAGTCCTACTACAAGGGTGGTTACAAGGAAATTTGTCAGTTTATCATAGATAGAACTCATCTTCTTGGTTTTCTTCCACGGGGTTTGCATGGTCCTCGTCTTCTGGGGTTAGGTTCCCCCCCTCGAGGCTGTTCTCGTTCCCGAGTTCGGCCTGGGTGCGGCTCATGACGAATATCTTTCCGGGAGCGCCGTAGTTTCCTTGGTGAGTGGTGCCCCCGTGTTGACCCGCGGTGGTGGGGCGCGGCCTTTGGGGTTGAGTGCACTGGAAGGCCTTGTGTCCTTCCTCCCCGCAGTTAAAGCATCGCCAGGGATTTCCCATGCAATCCTTGCCTCTATGGCTTTTGTTGCATTTTGGGCAAGGGAAGCTTCCTGTGTTAGTTCCATTGCTCCCTAGGGGTGGTCTTTGGCCGGCCAGGTTACTCGGTCTTGTGTTGGTGTCGTTTCTTGTCCGTTTTACGGGTGGCGTTCCACCCCCGGTGTTTCTCTTTCGTATCTGTTCTTGAACCCCACGTTGGAGTAGTTGGATTCGATAGAGATTTGCGGCACTGGAGTAAGCCTCGTTGAGGGTCCGAGGTCTGCTTACCACTAGTGCCTTTCGGGCTTCGAAGTTGAGGCCCGATACGAACCTCTCTATCATAGTTACCTCAGTGGGGACTAGTTCTGGCACGAAGCGTGCTAGTTCGAGGAATCGCTTATGGTACTCCATGACGGTAGTCGTTCCTTGTTTCAAATGGAGGAACTCTTCGTACATAGATGCTTTTACGTGTGTTGGATAGAATCGCTCTCGTAGTCGTGTTTTGAGGCTTTCCCAATCGAACCCTGGTTCTTGTTGGTAAGCGGGTCCTTCGTGGATCCAACAAAGGTCTGCCTCGTGTCCGAAGTAGAACGAGGCTATCTCTACGCGACGTTCTTCTGGGCATTCTACTAACCCCAGAATTTTGTCGAGGGTCCGGATCCATTCCTCCAGGATTACGGGATCTTCTTCTCCTGAGAACGTGGGTGGTCGATGATTTGAAACATGTCGGGCGACGTCTGAGTTTGCGTTTGATGGAGGTGGTGGGGGCCTGTTGTTGCGAAGGGCCACGTCGCTTAGTGCCTGGGTGACTTGCGTTAGTTGTCGTAGAGTTTGGGTCAGGGGGTCGTGTGTGGCGGGTTCTGGAGTCCTTGATTGTCTTCTGTTCGGAGCCATGCTGTCGTCCTTCTGGGTCAACGTTTATAGGAATGTTAGGTTTAGAGTCTGGTGCCCTTACTTTGATGTGTTAAGCGGGGAAAGTTTTCTTTAAATAGGGAAGGGATGAAGTGAGGGGTGGTTTATGTGTAGGTTCCACAGTCTCACCGCGCGTCCTAAGATTCCTGAGTCCTAAGTACCTAGAGTTCAAGCCTAATGTTTTAGTCTTAAAAGTCTTATTCTAGGGTCAAACTTAGGCTCTGATACCAACTGTAACACCCCGAAATTTCAAAAACTTTTAAAGACTATATAACAAAGGTAAATGATCATAAATCCCAAAACGTTTATAAGAATACGGGGCGTTATGCCACACCCGAGCTAGAGAACTCAGGTGCACAGGCTAAATTCTAAGAACCACAATCAGTATCAATACAAAATCATGGCACGCAGGACGAAAGGGAAAAGTATCTAATCTACGCCCCAAACCTCGGGCGCGCTCCAGTGATCTACTCGTCTGTGCCTGAAAGCCAAATATATCTGTTCAGCGAGAGATGCTGGTAACCCACTCCAACGCGTTGAAATACATTACATATAGATATATACATAGATATATGAAAAACCATTTTGAAGCATGAAGATATATCCTAAGAGACTCTAGCTTTCAAAATAGGGAATAGACTCGACAGATATGGATAAGCACAACCAACAGTCATAACCAAGCATGCACAATTCACAGGTGTAGGGAACAGATACGACAGATAGAGATAAGTACAGCCAATAGTCATAAACAAGCATATACAGTTATTAGCATGTATCCTAGGGTCACGCTTTCATAACAATCCAATCACCCATATCTCATCACATAGCACACTTTGTTGGCGCCACAGGACCAATCGCATGCCCATACATGAGGGTCAGCGCATATAGCTCTGACACGGCCCCGCAGCACCCTGCCCCGTATCGCAACACGGAGGGGTCGATCGCAACCGACAGATGAACCGCAGCTCATCATAGTTTGATCGCAACCAAACAGTGGACCGCAGCCCAAGAGTAGTCATCTGACCGCAGCCAGGAATATGAACCGCAGCTCATGTAAAACGTTTGATCGCAACCAAACGGTGGATCGCAGCCCGGGAGTGTAAATCTGACCGCAGCCAGCTTCTGAACCGCAGCTCAGGAATAACCAATTCGATCGCAACCGAATTGGGGTATCATGCACACATAACACATAGCAAACACATGCAACCCACATAGGCACATTGGGGAGGGGAAGAAATCGTATAACGAAACCTATGCGTGATCATTCACATGCTAAGAATAGTCCTAAGGGGTTCATACTTCTTACGCCTAGGTCAACAGGATACCAATTCCACTACCATGCAATATATAAGACTTATTCAACCTACGAATGGTACTCGAACATCAACTAGACACAGGCACGATAGACGGAGTCCGTTGGGACACCACGTGGGTCGGAGGAACATCAAACAGGGAAGCCAAAATTCCAAAGTGGGGTAAAATCCAGCGGGTAGCCGGTGGGTGAAGGGTCACCCGCCGGCTGCCCGCCGGTGTCGTGATTCCGGGTAGCGGGTGCCCGGCGGGCAGTCGCCTGCCCGCCGGCTGCCCGCTGCCGGCGACTTCAAAGCTGGCCGCGGGTAGGTGGCGGGTCCCCTACCCCCACCTACCCCCCACTGACTCTTTCATCACAAAAATGCCCCGGGAACTTTAGTGGAACCCGGAACCATGCTTAGACACTTTCAAAACGCAATTGATAACAACACATAGACAATTAACGGATCAAAAGCAAGAAACATATGGCACATATCCTATCATGCTTTTCTAAACATAATTAATACCCGAACATGCGAATTCCCACCCAATACATCAAGAATAACACCATACGAATTTCACGATATGGCCTAGGGCTCTAGACACATTCAATTTAACAACAACACGATTCCTCTTTAAACATCAAGAACAATCAAGAATGGCACATAATCATCAAGAAACTAGGTTCCATCAAGAATCACACAATCATCAAGAATCCCTTTTCATCAACAAGATTATCAAGATCGCCCATGGAATCATAACATCAATCGTCAAGAACAATATAACGAATCATCAATACACAAGAATATTGGGGAAATCCTAAGAGGGGAATCATAGCTATGAAAATAGGTTTTGTTGAGACATGGGTTACCTCTTAGCCTTAATTAATTCCTTGGCTATGAAGGGTCTTTCTTTAAGCTTTCTTCTTTCTTGATTTCTCCTAAGGGAATTCTTGGAACTTCTTGTGTGGTGAGAGATTATTGTGGTGGGGGTTCTAGGTGCCTCCTATGTCCCCTATTTATATATCTAAGAGTCTTAATTAGGGCCCAAATACTATAGGCTTGCTAACTCTATTCCTTTTAGGACTAGGGGTTGGGTTTAGAGAAGAGGGCCCACGGACTATGGTGGGCCTTTTCCAATCTAATTATTGTAATTTAATTCTTTCTTTGGATAATTGGTTAAATGCTTAATTGGTTTTAGGGGGCGTAACACGGGGTGTTACACTCCACCGAAACAGAGGGCTCCATCACCCTCGAGGAACAAATCGGCAGCCCGCTGCACGTCAAAAGGTGGGAGGTGGTGGTCAAAATCTAATGTGCCCACAATATCATCTTCGACCGACCTTCCCTGGAGGACCTCAGGTGCATCATTTTCATGGAGCACCTCTGCATCAAGTTCCCCACCCCCACAGGAGTGGGTGTCGCGCGGGGAGACCAGAAGATCAGTCAGAGCTGCTACTTGAAGGCATGCCGCCAAATAACAAGGAAGGACCTCCCGGTACACACCGTAACCGAGAAGGCGCTTCAATAGGTAGAGAAGCGGCCCCGAGCCGAACCCGCGGTGGAGACGGAATAGGTCATTCTGGACCTCAGCTGACCTCCGGGGTTGGATCATGGAGGTCATCCGTAGCTACAAGGACGTGTTCGCCTGGGGTCCCGAGGACATGTCGGGCCTCAGTCAGGAGGTCATCACGGACAAACTGGCGGTAGACCCCAAAGCCAAGCCGGTCCAGCAGCGGAAGCGCTACCTCGCCGCAAACAGACGAGAATTTGTGAAGAAGGAGGTCGACACCCTCCTCGAGATAGGGCACATAAGGGAGGTCCTATACCCGGCATGGCTCATGAACGTAGTCCTCGCACCTAAACCACCTACGTGGAGGATGTGTGTGGACTACAAGGACCTCAACAAGGCATTCCCCATGGACCCCTTCTCGCTACCCAACATAGACCAGCTGGTGGACGAGACGGCGGGATGCGCGCTCATGAGCTTCCTAGACGCCTTTCGGGGGTACCACCAAATCTTCATGCACGAGGATGATGAAGAAAAGACGGCGTTCACCACCCCCGAATGGGTCCTTTGCTACCGGGTCATGGCCTACGGGCTCAAGAACTCGGGAGCCACGTACATAAGAATGGTGGCCAAGGAATTCAAGAAGGTCCTCGCCCGGAACCTGCAAGTTTACGTTGACGACATGATCGTGAAAAGTACGGAGGCCTCCATATAGCCGACTTGATCGAGGTACCCCAAAGTCAAAACGGGGGCGCGGACTTGCTCTCCAAGCTCGGCCTCGACACCCTGGAGCATGTCTCTAAGATAACACGGATTGAAGACCTCCAGAGGTCCACCCTGGAGGCCTACCCAGCCTTCCCCATACAAACTCGGCCCCCATGCTGGTTAGACCACCTGGTGGAGTACAAGAAAACGGGCACCCAGCCAGCAGACAAGGCGGCCGCCAAGGTAGTCAAGAGGAGCTCACCACCATATGTCCTCCTTGGCGACACCCTTTATAAAAGGTCCTATAACGGCGCCCTCTTCCGGTGTTTGTACCTAGACGAAGCTAAGTCCATCAAGGAAGAGATACATGAGGGCACATGCGGCACACCAAGGAGCCTTCGTCATGGCGAGGAGGGCCCTATTGCAAGGGTACATTTGGCCAAATATGGCCAAAGAGTGCGCAGAGTACGCCCGGGAGTGCCCGACCTGCCAGCACTTTCACGCGGAGCCAGGTCGGCCAGTAACCAGCTGCACGCCTATCAGCACGGTGATCCCATTCTCAAGGTGGGGAATCGAGATAGTCGGGGCCTTACCTATGGGGTCCGCAAAGAGGAAGTACATAATAGTCGCCATAAACTATTTTACAAAGTGGGTCGAAGCCGAGCCCCTCGCCACCATCACAAGCACCCCGTGCACGGAGTTCGTATGGAGGAACATTCTATACCGCTTTGGGGTCCACATGCAAATCATCTCCGACAACGGGCGGCAGTTTGAGAGCAAAGAGTTCAAGGAGTTCTGCGACCAATGGTACATAAAACAGACCCATGTGGCAGTGGCGTACCCGCAGGCAAATGGACAGGTGGAGAACGCCAACAGAACTATAGTGGAAGGCATCAAGAAGAACCTGGACCCAGCCAGAGGTACATGGGTGGAGGAGTTGGACACCGTCCTACGGGCGTACCGCACCACCCCAAGAAGAGTCACCGGGGAAACTCCGTTTGCGTTAGCATACGGGTTCGAAGCGCGGGCCCCCACCGAGGCCGCGATACCATCCTATCGGGTCGCAGTGTACGACCCCGACCTCAATGAGGAGCACCACGCCGCTGACCTCCACCTCATCGACGACAGAAGGGAGGACGCTATGGTTTGCGCGGAAAATTACCAGCGCCAGACAAAGGCATACCACGACAATAGGGTCCGACCTCGCTACTTTCAAGTCGGCGATTACGTCCTCCGGAGGAGGGATGCAAGCCGACCCCAGGACGGAGGCCCGACCTCGCGTACCAACCCCGACGGAAGAGCTTAACGGCCCAAGTCCGATGACATGGAGTCGAAGGGCCACCCTAAGGGAGCACGAGGTCCGACCTCGCGTACCAACCCCAACGGAAGAGCTTAACGGCCTAAGTATGGTGGCTTGGGGTCGAAGGGCTACCCTAAGGGGAGCCCGAAGTCCGACCTCATTCGCCACTTGCAGGGTCTCGGCCGACTTCCCAAGGAGGTCTTGGCGGACTTTTTCGATGAGGTCTCGGTCTACCTCTCGAGGAGGACTTGACCGACCTCTCGGGGAGGTCCCCGCCGACCTCTCGGGGAAGTCTCCGCCGACCTCTCGAAGAGGTCTCCGACGACCTCTCGAGGAGGTCCCCGCCAACCTCTCGAGGAGGCCTCGACTGACCTCTCGGGGAGGTCCCCGCCGGACTCTTAACGAGGTCTCGGCCAACCTCTCGACGAGGTCCCCGCCAACCTCTCGAGGAGGTCCCCGCTGACCTCTCGGGGAGGTCCCGGCGGACCTCTCGGGGAGGTCTCCGCCGACCTCTCGGGGAGGTCTCGGCCGACCTCTCGGGGAGGTCCCGGCCGACCTCTCGGGGAGGTCCCGGCCGACCTCTGGGGCAAGTCCCCGCCGACCTCTCGAGGAGGTCCCCACTGACGTCTCGAGGATGTCTCGACCGACCTCTCGAGGGGGTCTCGGCCGACCTCTTGGTGGTGGTGGTGATAATAATAATAATAATAATAATAATTCGATAAAACCTTCATTGAGACTAGTGCGTGTGTGTGTGTGTGTGTATATATATATATATATATATATATATATATATATATATATATATATATATATATATATATATATATATATATATATATATATATATATATATATATAATTAGGTTCTGGTGCGGTTAGGGTGCTCAGGTGCGGTTGTGCAGTTTAATTTGGGCCATTCATCTCGCTTAAATCAACGTCCAGGATTACCGAAATTTAAAAAAAATGCGGTGTTTATTTTGTAATTTTTGCATTTAGGTCAAAATTAATGTGAGCGGTTCTATGATTAATGTGCGTGAGTTTTATATATAAGATGGGTGAGTCTTGTGCATAAGGTGTGTGAGTTTTGTGCTTAATGTGCATGGGGTTGTTCTTAATGTGAGTAGTTTGTAAAACTTAAAGTATGGGCTTTTGTGTTTAAGGTGCGTGAGATTTGTTCTTAATGTGAGTGGAGTTTGCGCTTAATTTGCGTAGGGTTTGTGCTTAATGTGTGTGAGGTTAGTGATTAATGTCAGTAATTGTTGAAACTTAAAGTCTGTGAATTATTATTATTTGTGCGTGGGTTTTGTGCTTAATGTGCGTGAGATTGTGCTTAATGTGCGTGGGTTTTATACTTAATGTGCGTGAGTTTGTGCTTAATGTCAGTAGTTGTTGAAACTTAAGATCTGTGAGTTAATACTTAAACTTAAGATCTGTGAGTTATAAAACAAAATATTTGAAATATGTCACCCATGCGATGCACAGATTTAAATATTTGAAACGCTATCAAAATAAACTAGTAGCATCTTAATTTTTTTCCATCTTTACCCTTATTATTTTAAAGAAATAACATCATCAACCCTTCCTAATTAAAACATTTTTCTCTTCTCCTTTATCCGCAACTTTCACAATACATTATACGGTAATTTATTCTATGGATGATTCCTTACCTAACAAAGAAGCCTAATCATACAACTTAGCTTCCTAAACCCACAAACAAAAGCATTGGTCCCCATTGACAGCCATAATTACACAATTAAGTTTTTTTTTTCTTTTTTTTTTGGTAAATGGTAATAATCACTACTTTTCTTTAAGATTCCACTATATATGGTATATCATCAAATTGGCTGCTTGCAGATCTCCCGGCACAACCAGTATGTGTCCCCACAACGCCGGCAATCCCTTTGATTTCCCCTGCAAACGTGGAAGACTCTATCGCTATACATGCGGATTTGAAACGTCGCCGTGAAGGAAATGATTCTGTGGATAACACTTCTGCATGTGATACTGTTATGTTGGAACGTTCAAAAAACTCGGATGTGGCAGGTCTGGTTGGCCAGACTCGCCCGAATCAATGAGTACATTATCTTGGAACTGGTGGGGTGTAACACCCCGTGTTACGGCCTTCAAACCCAGATTAATTATTAAATTAATCCCGTTAACCAATGGTTTAAAAGGATTTATTTCGGTTAGGGTTCCCTTAATTAATTATGGTGGTCCACAATTGATCGTGGATCCTTGCCTATATTAAAGACTTCAAGCTGGATAGGAACATAGAAAATAGACCTTCTACTATTCAGATTCTAATTAGGATTTCCTAACTCTATAAATAGGGGATTAGAAAGCAATTAGAACCCCCTCACCTCTCATAACTCTATTACACGAAATTCCCCAAAGAATCCTAGCAAAAGGGATTTCCCACCATCGAGCCTAGGAAGATTAATCGGAGGAGAATCTTTGAGAAGGACCTTAGAAGCCAAGGGAAAATTTATTAAGGCTAAGAGGTAACCCATGTCTTATAAAACCTATTTTCCTTGCTATCTTTTATTGATTGGCTCCGTTGAATGATTGAATGTGTGGTTTTGTATTTATGCCTTGTTAGAGCTTGTCTTTAGGATTTAATTTATGATTTGGATTCTAGTTATCCTTGATGATCTTGACGATCTTGTATGGTGGTTTGAATGTTCTTGTATTTAATTATGTTGAGAGCTTGTCCTTAGGGTTTATATTGTAAATCTTGTTGTTGTGATGTTCTTGGTGTTCTTGGGTGGGTTTATGCATTCTCGGGTGTTGATTCAAGGTTAGGTCTTGTTTTTAGGGCTTTGCATATAGCTTTTCTTGATGATATTGAGGTTCTTGATGCTCTTGGACCGTTATGTGTTTAATCTTGAGTCTTGGCATGTTTAGGAATTGCGTTTAGGGTATATTTGTGGTGTTCATTGGTTTAATTCTTGTGGTTGAAGTCCATGTTGTTGTTGATATGTGTTGGAATGTGTTTGGATTGGTTTTTGGATACAATTTGTTGAATTCCCGGGATGGAAAAAGGGCCAATGAGCCTTCGTACCAGTAGGGGGTCGGGGGGGCGAACCCCCACCTGACCACCCGCCGGTACGGTTACCCGTACCAGCGGGTGGCCGGCGGGTGAACGACCACCCGCCGGTGTACCCGCTGGTACGGGGCCGTCCGTCGACGGGTGGTTGACCACCCGCCGTTTCGCCTGCTGGTACGGGCGGCATGGTGTGTTTTTTTTACCTCGTGTGGTGTTTCCCGGTTCCCTGTTGTGCCCCGTTTGGTGTTTATGAGTCTCGTACAATGTTTTGGGTATCGTTTGAAGAGTTGTGGGAAGTGGTTACTGTTGTGGTTGAGCTTTGATTGTTGTTATTGTTGTGAGTTGATTACCATTGTTGATTGAGTGTTGATGGTTGATGTGTGTCATTGAGCACTGTTGTTGTGATTGATTTGTCCATGATAAGAAATGTGATGTGATCGGTGGAAAAGATTTGTTGGCGGTTTAGCACAACGAGTGCTCGGTCATTGTGCTATAGGCACAAACCACCCTTGATATGCTTGCTAAAGGCATGGATCAAGTTATAAGCACTGCGGTGCCATGTCATTGTTCTATAGGCATGACCCCTTGATTATTGTGTTATAGGCACAGATCATATGTTAATGGTACTACGGCGCTATCAGATCGGCGGCTTTGTTGGCAGTAT